TTCCCCCGTTTTCCGAAGGGAGACGACGAAACATGCATACACCAGGATCCCGTGTGCATCAGAATCCGCGCTCCTGTGCGAATTGCAGCGCAGGGTCGGGAAAGGCGTCGGTGTATAGAGTTCGCTTACCCAAATAACAGCATAAACCTCGCTAACCTCGCTTTTTTTAAGCCAGCTAACCTCGCGGACCTAGCTAACCTCGTTTTCTTTAGCCACGAGGGACAAATCTTAGCATAAGCATGCACTTGGACTTGTTGGACCGGCGCTGGGGGCCCCCTGGCGGCGCCCCCAGGCGCCGCCCCGTGGCGCGCTCCGCGCGCCACTTAGAGAGGGGGTCCAGTGCCGGTCCAAGACGCCCGTGCGGACCTCCAACGGCCACACGCTGGTCGGTATGTTTGAGCCCCTATAGATCCCAGTCTACGTTAGGCGTCCTCCTGCTTCAAGAATCGATATGCTCTGGCTGTGTGTTTGTCATTCTCCGGGAGGGCCCGAACCCAATCTGCTGCCCTGCTTCATGCTTTTTGTCTACCTCTTCCGACCGACGTGTAAGTTGAATGCCTTTGGTTGTCCCTCTGTCCGAGGCGGGAGTTTATCCACATCCACCGCCTGGAGGGTCAGTTTTCGGAGCCTCGGCAGGCGGTGGATATGGACAGATTCGGGCCCCTGGGGGCCGAAATACATCCATACCTCCACCGCCCGCTGGGGCACCAGGACGTCGGTTCCCAGGCGGTGGGTGTGGACAAAATCCCCGCCTCGTCTTCCACCGGAGGGTCAGGGCTCCGCAGCGCAGGCCGCATGCCCAGTCTGCTTGATCCGCCTCCCTGCTCCATGCCTTTTGTCTACTTCTTCCGACCGACGTGTGCTCCAACTCTCATAATACAGGGGGGGGGGGGGGTCAACAAAGTGTTTGACGGCCGGTCTGGGACCCCCCCCCCCCAAGCAGACCCCCCCCCAGACATGCAACAGAGGGTTCACAATCGAGACCACGCCCCACAATTGTGGTTGACGAAGCCCGTGAGACCCCCCCCCAAAAGCAGACCCCCCCCATTGTTATGAGATCCGGGCGGTCCTATATTCCGTTCCATTGGGAGGAATCTTGGAGTTCCAACTGGAGAAGGTATTCCTGAGATCCTGAGTCGGAGACCCCCATGAGACCCCCATTCCATTCGGAGATCCTGAGTTGGAGACCCCCATTCCATTGGAGGAATGCCTTCTGCTGCCCCTCCACCGCAGGGCCGGCTGCGCCGCAGCGCCGCCGGGCATATGCCGCCATCCCCGAGGGGGGGGACGGACGGACGCCGCGGGTCCCGGGGCAGAGACGGCACCGCCAGCTCGGAGGGGCCCGGGCCGGGCATCGGGGCCAAGGCGTAAGTCGGGAGCCCTGAGACGGGGGTCAGTGCAGACGGGGGTCAGCCAGGGCGCAGGCCTCCTCTGGCTGACCCGGGGTTAGGGAGCCGCTCGTGGCCGCGAGGCGGCCGCACATATTGACTGACCCGGGTTTGCGAAGATCTGCGTTGCAGTTTTTTTTTTCCTGCACTGCAGTTCTTGGTTTCCTGCTGACCCGGGTCTGGATTGACCCGGGTCAGAAGATCCCCGAGTAAGTCGGGCCTGTCCCCCTACAGGGGGATTGTCGTGGAAAAATTATGAATAATCACAGAATGTGCAAAAATGGTCAAAGAATATACAAAACATCGTCACCCTATTATTTTTCAACCCTTTTTTCCCCCGGAGGCGACAGAGATGCACCACTGGAATTCCTAAAACACTTCGGTCAGGAACCCAACTCCTATCGAGCAAGCCCGTTTGGGGTGACGTTAACCCGGCCGGCGTTTTTTTAGGTTTGGCCTATTTCGAGTTCGAGCCTTCATCCAATGGGTGCGGTGGAAAAGAAACAAAACAATCAACCATTTTTGACTACTCCTCCTGTAGAGGGGCAGGCCCGACGTCAGCCAAGGCTTTCCCAGGGGGGGCTGGGGACGGGTCTCGGGGTGCGGTTCCAGGGCTCGAAGTGTGGTCCAAGAGCCAAGGGGGAACCTCATACATTCCCGTCGAAGAAGTATAACAAACGCTATAAACATCCACTTTTGGCGCTCCGCATGGGTTTCTTGGCTCTCCCCCCTGGCGGCGCCTCCAGCGCCGCCCCTGGCGCGCTCCGCGCGCCAGGGAGGGGGGTCCAGCGTGGATCCAAGAAATCCTCGCGGAGCGCCAGAAGTTTATGTTTATAGCGTTTGTTATTTTTCTATTCCCAGCGTGTCGGTTGTCGTCGGAATGGTTTTCGGCAAGCGGCACGCGCCCCACAAGTGGAGACGGCGTTGCAGAATACGCCGTGTAGCGCGTACCTCTGAAGAACGAAAGTTGCATGCAAGCTATTGCGAGGTCATGAAGTCGACGAAATCATCTTCGAACTCTGCTAAGTCCAACGCGCGGGTACCACGAACTGGTTATGATAATGACGTGACGAGTTTTATTTGCTACTCAGATACTGGTTTACGTTATCAGTCCACCTTGTCCTTGGGCGTCCCTGGGATCGCTTTCCCGAGAGAGGAAGCCATTTCATCACTGTCCTCGGCCAAGATAGGTCATCTTGAAAAGTTTGTTTGATGAGCCGCCATAGCGTTTTGTCAACTACCCGTAACCAATCAGATACGCGACGCTGCGAAAGATCATTCTGAAGTCGATGT